TCAAAATTGTACAATAACCAGTACGCGGTACTGAATGGACCAAGTAATATCGAAGCAAGCGCATATGCTTTGGTCAGGAGATAGCGAAAATTGCAAAACGTAATGTTACTAAAATATAGGGAGTAGCATGCTTTGTAACATAAAACGTTGGGTGGGACGGGTGGTACAGGGGGAAAATTTGTTAGTTTCTGATGCTGTGGAGGTACATAACCCTGTACTGGTCAACCTTTCTCTTAAATGAGTCCACGGATGAGGACATGACGACGTCCACAGGCAGAGCATTCCATGCCTTTACTACTCTGTGGCTGAAGAAGGACCTCCTTGTGTCCAGTCTCGCCCCTTTCACACGTAGTTTCAGAGGGTGTCCTCTCAAACTAGTAGTGGTGGCCAGCTGAAAAAATTCGCCGGATGCGAAGCAGCAATCCTGATCCCGTTGCATTCTAAACGTTTGAATTAAGTTGTCTGTAGTCCAGGGGAAAGAGGTTAAGATTTGACAGTCTAGTTTCGTAAGGTAGGTTTTTATGACCTCTGACAAGCTTTGGTGCCCGTCGTTGGACTTTTTCGAGGGTGATACGATCGTTGACAGTCCAAGGTCTCCAGGCCTGAATGGCAAATTCTAACTGTGGGCGCACAAACATCCCGAAGACCTTGCAAAAGCACCCTTCGTCGAACTTGGCAAATGCCGCTTGATGAGATATAAGCTGAACATTGCGATGTCGCTGCTTTCAAGCAGTGGAATGATGGCTTTAGTGAAGATGTTATCCACACACCTAGATCCTACTGAACCTCTACCAGTGGCAGAGGTGTGTGATTTAGATGACATTCCTATGCAGTTGCCATTATCACTGCACTCACCACTGGCGGTCTAACGGAGACCACAGCTCACTCCAGACGGATCGGTTGTATACGCAATGTTATTCCCCTTAGTATCGCTGTGTCCCATCTTTATCATTTAATCTACTTATCTCTCATAGTGTATAATTCCTTGTCAGACGAGTGACGCGTATAAGGTAATACAGATTTCAGTGTTTATACGGTACTATTGATAGAATAAAGTAATAAAAACGTACAAACCTCAACAATGGATACCCTTGACAAAGAATTCCTTTGTTACTGTCCGAGCAAATTGAATTCCCAGCTCAAGGTCAGAAAACAATACTAGTTAATTAAAAGAACGACGATCACGCTCGAAAAAGGGTTAAAAAAAGGGGAAGGGGAATGTCAACAGGGGCCAAATGTGGAAGCACTTGAGAGGAGGGCGTGCAGAATTCCAAGCGTTGGCCAGCTGGATACAACACATAGCACAGGTTCCATATGTGCCAGTCCTTTCTGATCACATACAAGCATGTTTAGCGTGATACATGACGACTCAGTCCCGCGTTTCCGTGGCCAGAAAACTACGTCTGAGTGCTTTTAGAATCGAGTGCATGTCGGCCTCAGTAATGTCCGCCACTGCGGAAGATCATGCTGATTTAAGCACTTATTTATAATGCACGATAGTGGCTACCCATAATAATACCATAAATGTGAATTGTCTTGTCATGGTCGTCCAAAAACCTTCCGTCATCCACCGACGTTAATGTTTGCGTTGTGCAAGAAAGCGATTAAAGTGCCTGACTGGGCACGTGACAAGGTGATTATTCTGCTAAGAAATCACCCATTTTAGGGAGAGGATCCTGGATGGGAACTCATGTGACCAGTTTGTTTTGCTGAAGACACGCCATGTGTCTGTCTGCTGGAGGGGGCATTTAATGAAATAGGTTTTTACACATATCAAAACCCCATATACAAGGTTTCAGCCGCACCTACCGGAGCTCATATACCCCCGTGCCAACTCTAAAGTCTGTGACCTTAAATAACCCGAACTTGGGCGGACAAATGTTCTTTTAACCGAACGTGATTTAATGACAAGCCACTCTAAAATGATTCTGAACGTGACACTTCGTGGGTGACAAGACAACGCCACGTAGCACAGGTGGGTGGTCGACTGACATAGAATGAAAATGGTACGGTTGTCAACTTACAACACTCTTTGGATGCACAACTTATTAGCAACAACAACCAAGCCAGATCTGCCCGTTATAAATAACTTCCTTCTAAGGCTTAATACCTTTGGTCTGGGTAAAAACGTCGGTGGATGGGTCAGGTTTTTTATTGTTAACTTTACTTCCGTGCCCGTGCTTGCGATGAGTCCTCCAAAAATGCTGTTTGCGGGGGCGTCCCTCTGCCTGGCCTACTTGACTGGTAACCCTTCTTATGTTCGCACGAGTTTCGTCTTTCAAAAACAACCGTGACAGTTTTACCACTGAAATCAAGTCGTCAAGCAAACTGCTCAATGTGCGCCCATAAAATGACTTAGTTAGGATCGGTGATCGAATCCACTTCTGGGACAAGACAGTTAATACGTGGACATCCCACGTCTTAATCAATAGACCCAGGTGATGCCTAGAATTTGCTCCAGAAAATAAAGTCAGCCCATTGCTCGCCATAAAAAGCTGCATTTTGTACTCCGAGTACGAAAGTGTTTTTTGCACCTTAAGAGCGGTTCAACCGACTCCGATTGCAATTCTAGAAATAAGTTCACATACACAAGCAATGTCTGCTACAGATTTAAAAGTTATCATTTCTGGCAAATTAAACAATATTTTGGCAATGCACTAAAGGATTAGCAATAACTCAGAAGGTGAACTTTCGAATTTTGACTCCTTTACAATTTACGATTAAGGGGCATGGCAGGCAGAATTCTTAAATAGATCGAGAATTTTCTCGTCGGTAGTTCCCAAGTTGTCTGTGTAGAGTAACCACAAGCAGGGTACGCAGTCATAGAGAATGGAGTCCTACAGGCCTCAGTGATCTGATCGACCCTCTTTCTCAAATTCATTAATAATTGTATAGAGGAATTGAACTGTAATTGTGTGCCATGTTCGCGCATGATATTATAATCTGGAATGTCATCCATAATGGTGCTGACAAGACCAACTTCCAAGAAAATATTCGTCGACTGGATAAGTGTGCCCGCAGATAGCTTCTGTCCTTCAATTTGAACAAACGCACCATACGTCGCCTCTGAGCTCAAGATCAGGTCCTTAATACGCGGTTCAACTATCAGAACGCAATGCCACCACGAGGGTAGAAACAAAGACAGACCTCGGAGTTTGCATTACAGAGGGCTTAAAGCCTTCCACACAATGTTTTAAGGCAGCTAAGGGCACAGCTTCGATGCGCTACATAATCAAGCGGGCATTTAAAATTCTCGATAAAAAATGCTCCTCCAAAGTTTTTGGCACGTTTGTAAGGCCGTGTCTTAAGTATGCAGTCTAGGCCTGGATATTCTGAACGCGACGAGATTGCAATCTTCTATAAGGGGTCAGGATTCACTGCCATACGAGTTCCGCCTAAATTACCTAATCCCTGTCCTCTGAGTTATAAGCGGTTGCGTGGTGGCCTGATACAAACTTCCCGTACCGTTCGTGGATTGCTATACGCTCTCGTGTGCGACCACCTTCTTCAACTCGCCATTACAACTAGTCTCGAGACCTACTATTCAAAGTGCATGTACTCCAAGTATGATTGGATTTAGAAAGTATTTCTCCTCCAACCGTATCGCGGAACTGTGAAATAACAGGCACAGGGAGATTTTAATATCACAGTCTGCATAGACATTCGGAAATCGGCCTGAAATACGCATGCTGCAAGTACTAGCAAACTACGTAACTATGTTACCATAAAAACCAGTGACCCAAGTAAATCTAAGTCAACGTTCATTTTATGTTGCAATCTGTCTAGGTTGTTGCTAATTTTTAGTTGACGGATAGGGAGTGTAGATGCGTACGCCTACTACCCACTAATGCACCAAACTGTAAAAAGAAACACTTCAGACAATCACATGCCATTATAGAAATTGTTCAGAAACACTGTATTTCCCAGATATGTCAGTCTACTGCTACGAGGTCTCTGTGGAGGACTTGTCGTAGGCTGTCTTCGAGTTATTAACTAGACCTGAACTCGAAATTTTGGCTGTTTATGGAATGTTCAATTTCATAGTAAGCTCAAAATGTGGAAAGGGCTTCCTCGGAAGTATGGCATGCATAGAAGGAGAATGTTTGCGCATATGTTAATTAGGGAGATCACAATATACCCGGACTGTTCCAGTCTCTGCAATGAAATGTGATGAATGAAAAGTGACAAAAACGCAGTGGAAAAAAACAAAAATAATTTTACTTTCCACTGTCTGCCACATTAACGCACGCATTTCTCAATGTATTCGTTTTTTCGTGGCTTTTACCGCTTGAAGTGTATAAATCTGCCTTTTCCCGTCTATTTCTTCATTTCGTGTCGCAAGTGATTCTTTTCTTCGTTTGTTTCCCTCCTTATAACTTTTCATGTCGTTTATAAGGCCTGCGTGCTTGCCTCCTTTAATGCTGTTATGCCTCTGCGCATACTTCTGTCACATGTTGGCGTTTTCTAGATCTTTACGGACATCGTGTTTCTAGAAAAAACGTTTGCAGTTATTTATTTGTAACTCTCCGATCCTGCATATTTGTCCATCTCATTAACGTACTCCGTAACATTATGGTAATTTTTTAAATTTTACTGAGCGCGCAGTATCTGTTCCCGTTGTAATTCACGCGGATCTACAGAATAACTCCTCCGTTTATTAAGCTTTCTGAATGCAGCTACCACAACATTCTATCTTTTGCATTTACTAAATATCGAGTTTTAAGCATTCAGATAATACAACGCGTAAGAGGGCTTAAAAATCGTTACTAGTCCCTGTATTAATCACCGTGAGAACAAAAATCTCAGACATAATGAATTGGTTTATCCAAATAACCCAATTGCTAAAGAAAAGGATGAAGCGGAACCCGTTTGAGTGCATGACTTATGTGGTCAATCAAAGGTCATTCTGAGGTCATTCGGCGGATTTTGAACTACGATCGACGGACAAGATGTCGTGGCCGCCTGTGATGACAGTAGCCCAGACAAGCACAAATCAAACCATGGATATAGCGATACAAGCGTAAATATAGTGAAATGTTAACCAGACTTTAAAATTGTTTGCTTAATTATTATTCTATGGTTATTTCAAGCTTCCATCGCTTGTAGACGTGGACGACTTTCAATGCAAAGTTGCAAAATGAATTAGTACTTAATAGGACGTCCTATTAATTTGCAAGTTGTCCCTGCGTTTCAGTACATAAACCATAAACTCCTCGGAGGCCTCTGTAAAAGCCAATCTTAATGTAAATGTCGTCGATGTTTGTTAAATTTTTTCAGCCATCTATTCATTATGACTAACGAATCACCAGATAATCGAAGTTTATTAGTTAGATTAGTTAACCTCTCACACCTCGTGCACGGCTGTGCACGATTGTTCGTTTTTAATAAGTGGCGGGCATAAATATGCGATTGAACATTTTATCTTCCCATGCATACGAGTTGGAGGCTTATGCAGATAAAACTTCCTATGTTGCTTACAGACCACTATGAAAACTCACATATATGGTGAACTGACTTGGATGTTTAATCAGTCGTGAGTGAGAGAGCTGATGTGACAGCTGCATATTTCCTCCAGCATGAAACCTACAAGTTTTAGACTTTATCGTGCGCATTTGACGCAGTTAGCTAACAGAATGTGGTATGTCTGGCGAGCATTGTTACGCGGCCTTCCAGAAGGTGAAGACGTCGGATCAGGAAAACAATTTTAGAGGACAACAGACTGCTCAACTAAGAATACGGCTATATCTGAAAGAAATTCGCTGAAAGGACAAGACAGGTAGAGCAATAAGACGATGCGTGTGGAGTGATCTTATAGGGAGTTAAGATAGTTGGCAGACGAATTAAAATTCGTGTTCTATGGCCAACCAGTAAGTCTAATTGCCAACGTTGGTGATGATTCCGTCCCCGTGTGGAGAAGTCTTCACGAATAGCTGATTGCTTAACGTAACATCCTGGTGTCCCATCTACTACCATGGACGGCTGATATGATCCGGACCTCGTCGTTCAACAATTGAGCATTTAATGGTTGTTAACAATATGCGTTCTCTTTTTAGTCAGTTCGTTTGTTAGACTTCAGGTTAACCAAAAATATAAATTATATCATTTGCGGGACGAAGGAAGTAGGCAATTGATATGACCGTAGAAATGGGAGCGGGTAGCAGATTTCACATGTTATTACCCTCAGGTTATTTTCTTATTCAATCGCACAGTTATTTGTCTCGCCTGTCTGGCTTTTAAAAGTTTTTGAATGATTTGAAGACCGGGCTGATCACACGGTGAAAGAGAGGCGACATTACACTGTGCGTTCCCGCAATTCCTAAGTTTCAAACAAAGTCCGCTTTCACTCGACTTAAAAAACTTGATGCCCTTCTTCTCCTTTTATTCGAAGTCTAGGATGTGGGACATTGTACAACGTAATACATAAGAAACAAGCTTTAAAAACACCATAACTGTCTAGAAAACGCACTCCCACAGAGTATATCACGGTCGATTGCAGAAACAATAAGCACTGCATGATTACAAGTATACCGATTTTGGCTTCGTTGTTTGAGGTTGCAAACACTATAATTTCATACTCTCTTTTACAAAAGTACGTCTCCTCCAGAATTTCTCCAACACATCCTGTTTTCAGAAAAACAACCTGGTGTGTGTTTAGAAATAAAAAAGAGCTTGAAATAAGAGACGGCGTCAACCGACCGATATTAATTTTAACTCAAGAAAATTCCTTGATTTTCATCCGTAAGTTTTCCAGAAATACTTCACGTAACAATCTAGAGGTACCTTCGAGGACGCCAAAAAAGCGTATCAATTTCTGTTGTGCGTTTTGCGACCTTTGTTTTCTGTCCTTACTTTTGTCGAACGCTGACTCGATTTCTTCCACTTGCCATTCTGTTGTCCGGCTGTTAGATCCTCTGAGTATGTACCGACCTCGCAAATTCATACCCAATTCAGCGACAAAGTAAAATTAACCAAAGAGCATCTGCATATTTCTGAGACGTTTTTGGGAAGCTTGTTCAGTGCTATGGATCGTTTCCCTAACCGCTAACCACCATGCGTTATAAACATCCCGTGGACATTCAATGTTTTTACAAATTTCCCGACCTTCTCTACCATCTGCCATCTCCTTGGGACGTCCCATTTTTAATTCTAACACTCAAGGTTTAATTCATGCGCACCGTCTGTTGCGTCAACCCAGGATTTGCGGTCTTCCTGCGTCTCAACAACCTACTTTGTTAAACAGTCTGCGTACAGAATTGTTGTAGGGAAAATTAAAACTTCCGAAATAATACACATTAAATGAATTTGCGCTCTGAAGCAAAGAGCCTAAGCTCTAAATAAAAGCAGTTTCACTTGGTGGACAAACTCCACATAACACCTCATCCTAGTTAACCCCTACTTGTGCTTAGTCAGAAAACTTTAATTTCTCGACTACCGAAGAATGTTTCATAGAGCTAACTTGCGTCCCAAATGCAACATTTCCCTGCCATTAAAGACCTGTCCCGTTATGAATAGCTCTTAGGTATGCTTAGCATACCTCTCTGTGGTAAATAAGCCTTATTCATTTTGACCCAACTGTGAAAAACTCGGTGCTTCAGTGACATTCGAACCCAGGCTTACGTGAGCCTGGTAGTCATCTGGTGGAGTCTAGGTGAATACCACAGGAAATCCTCCTTTGGCAGTCAGCTGGCTTTGTCGGATTCCAGATGTCGCAGTATGCTGGGCGGGCAAACGTGACTCAAAATGTGATTAAACCTTCGTCGACCGGTGGAGCCTCGTTTCTCAGATGGTTAGAGCATTGGCTGTACTAAAGCTTCCCCTTGTCTTGGGTTCGAATATCACCGAGGCACCGAGTTTTTCGCAGTTGGCTCAAGGTGAATTATTTGAAATCTGCCTCAGCACCTCTGAAATAAGCCTAGGATTTCTTGTGGGAAAACATGGTATGTCTGCTTAGGTCGAAACTAAAGGGTTGATCTGTCGAAGTGAATAATGTTTTCATGGACGCCTACAGTGTAGTCCCATGTCTTTGGTCATTGAAACAGCCTACACTGTTTTTAAAGTGCTGTTTTTTGCCATGAAAAATTAATTTTTAGACCAGTTCATTTAAACAGACTACTTAAAAAGTGTCTTTCTTATCCTTTTTGATTCTACACACTGCTGTATACTTCTTTTATGTGACCGGTTTAGTGGGGAATCGGTTTCCATAGGTATCGATGGCATACTATATGTGCTTGAACCGGTGGTGCGTTCTTATCAAAGCCAGTTATTTAGTGGAAGTTAGTGAGTAGCTAGAGAAACCGACGTATTCTCGATTTTCGGACTCGTCTCCCGAACCATCGTTAGGAGCATCAAAACGTTTTCTCTGATATCAAGTAACAATTGATAGGTAGCCTGGCTCTTCCATGACAGTTCAAACGTCTTTCTCCACGATGTCCACGGTATACCCCACAACAGGATGGTCACAGGGACGGGGACTTGCGCAAGAGTTACTTTGTGGATGGTGGACTCGCGTTACATCTGCTGCACATCCTCCTCCTCACTCATCTTAGTCCGGTGCCCAGACAGACCCAAAAAACCCGAAGACGGGATCGAGCGCAGGTGACTAGCACGGCGTGAACCCGCGCCTAGGCGTGTCACCACACCTCTGGGCCATAACCAAATGACATGGCTTTCACACGACAAGAGGGGAAAAGGTGGCTTGGGTCCCTATTTGAGAGGAAGTGCCATAAAGGCCACTTTAAGAAGGCGCTATTGCAAGGTGGGTTAATCGGTGCCGTCCCTAGATAGGGCTGCTTAGACATCCTATGGACACGGCGACGGGCAATCCCATAGGCCGCCCGGGCCAGCTTAGACACCCTCGCATTAAATCGAGTCGTGATCCACAGTGGAGTTCGGCGGCTGTCTGAATTTTTGCGCCCACTCGACCTAACCAACTGTCAGTGAAATATTTGGCCTATGAGTTCCTTCGCAAATAGCTGCCTTACCTGACCTGAACAATCCTTCTCACTTTCTCTCTCTCTCGATCTCTTTGTGACCTCTGAACCAACTGTTATCTTGCCGTCGCAGGACTGAGGACGGTGGATCCAGCGTCGAGGAGGAAACAAAGGAGGAATATGATTTCAACTACCCCTTCCTCTTCAGCGACATGGTTTTGGTTGTGCAAAATGAGAGGCTTCACTGTCATCGAGCCATCCTCTCCCTCTATTCTCCTGTCTTCAAAACGATGTTTCAGAGCAAGTTCGAGGTAAAATTGCATTCAGCTTTCATGTTTTGACAATCATTCGACTCCCTTTTGCTTAACCGCCTTTCATGGAGGACAACCTCTGCTGTAAATCAGCACATATCCATGCCTGAAATTTTGTCCTCCGCTGACATTGATCCACAATGTAGAATATCCACCCATGAACACATGGAGATCTGAAGTAATGGGGCGTAATGCCTTTGAAAACCATTCCTGTCCCAGGTGTTATGCCTGGTCCAGCGGCTCATTAAGTGTTTGGGCAAAATGCTCTTACCGCTTGAGTTACCGAGCCCAGACTCTGTTGACCGCGATCCGGAGTATAGGGTTTCACGTCGAAGTGGCGTTCGCCGAACGGTCCGACCAAAATGGTGGAATGCGGAGCGATCCCTTTGGACTTCGCTGGCGGTCGCATGTCGATGGCTGGCTGACGATGACATATTGGCCAGGAATAGTCGCCGTGTGACCGTCTGCGCTGGCCGTGGACCCAGAAGTACTCCAAGTCGTAGTTCGGCCTCCCCACCTTCCGTCCTCCAATCAAAACTGATGGGTGAACGCTTATCTCACGTGTCACTGAAGTGCTGGGATTTCCAGGCATGCAGGGCGCTAAATTACTCCAACAAATGCCTTAGCCTCTAATTTGCACAAGACATCATCCTGCTGCAAATTCCTATTCTCTTACAGAGGTTGAAAACAGGTAAAAACGCTCTCCACCACGACCGCATATTGAACTCCCGGAGTACCCTGTATCGAAGGGGGGGGGGCTGGAATTATATCGCGTATAGACTTCCAAAACATCTTCCCGCAGGCAAGGTGGGCTGAAAGCAACTTGACGATTTTTACGCACCGGAAAAAAATACGTCTTTTTCTCATTACCTCCACGCCCTGTTTCCTGAATCCTTAAGTTCAGCGTAGGCTGTAATTGTTTTCCCTGTGAAGGCCCTTTACGTGGGACTAGCCTGTTGTGTTCGAAAATTGGCGTATTTACTGCTACCGTATGAAGGCAATTGGTCATTTGAAGTTCACGACGAACCAATTGTCATCGAGAATCTCTTGCGTGCCCTAGGCGCAATCAGTCCTGGGGGGGGGGGGACAACGTTCCGACGAGCATGCTTATTCCTGCTGGCAGACTGTCGAGGCATTAATTCCGTGTGTCGACAATTTGTGCTCCTACAAATTCACACGCTCTTATGTGTGTGCGCTGGCGACAACGAGGGCTAGCGGTTTAGATGCACGCGAAAGCCCCCACTGGACCGCGCCTTCGAAAGCGTTCGGTAGACCCGACGTCTTTTGTCTTCCGTAGTTGTCGGTAGGAGCGAAAAGTTGGCAAGAAGAAACCACAGTCAGTGGAACAAGAGTGATGATTGGCCGACGTTTCGGACTCTATTTGGGCACGGGATTACCGACCCCCCCCCCGAACTATATGTGGCCTTGCGTTGCATTCCTGGGGGTACCTATTCCCATGTTCTAGCTTTAACCACAAACATCCTAGCTATAACTCTCACATTCGGTAAGGATATGTTGTGTAACCCCACTGGGTTTTTCGTGTATGCGTAACTGCTATATCTGTTTTAGCAGGTCTTGTTTTGTTTAGTAATTCATAGCTACAGGAAGTCCCCCATTGTGCGCTATCTAACCGCATGCACCGAGTCGTTTCAGTTCGACTTTTTTAAAGATAAATTATATGGCACGACGCTCTCGCTCCCCTTCTCGTAATGGCCTCGTCTTAGCTTGATTTTATAGTTACTCCAAAGTACTTGAATTGCTTTTGTTGTCGATTCCGTACGCCGTGACTTACTTATTTCTTCCGGAAGAGTTGTTAAACCTCTTTGTGCCATGACGGTACTCACCATATTATGCGTGCTGCAAGGATCGCCGGCTGAGTTTTGGTTTATTTTATCTCGGTTAGAGCACAAACGCTCTACTTCCTCGATATCTCTGAACGGTTTCTGTTGTCGAACGCCTACGCCTGACTTATTTCTTTCTCTAAGAATACCTGTGTATGGTTCCTCTCATAAACAATAATAAGATGGTTCAATTTAGTTGAGGGGTGGGGTTACATAACCTACCGTTGCCTAACACTCGTACTAATTCTGATCCCCCGGGGATTTAGCGCAAGGGGAGTCTCTATTCCCGTGCCCTCCACGGATTTCTACTTAAACTCATCATCAGAGAAATTGCTGGTGGCTTCAGCTGCATCCTTCCACGTCCATCATTCTTATCGGTAACTGTCTCCGACTATTAGTTCGAGTGGAGATGCGAAACGTCGGGCGAATGAAATGCCTGTACGGTTGTGTTCTCTTGTACTTCACGGCCGCATGCCAGTACTTCGTTCCGACGGATCCCTCCCTGTCCAGGGGTTGCACACCTGAGGAATGAGTGTGGTTGGCTGACGACGGCTAACCATTGTATATTCCCGATCGAAAACCGACAGGGCAGCGAGCTCGTGGCCCAATGATTAGAGGCGTGGACTTCTAACAACCAGGTCGCCAGTTCGAGCCTCAGGTGTTCCATACTTCGGGGTTGTATGACTGGCTGACGACGGCCAATAAGGCAGAAAAGGCCATTCCAATCTCCCTTGTCCTTGACGGTAATGCGAATCCGCCCATATCACACAGAGCTGTGCGATTGCAAGCTGGGCTCGAGAGAGAGAGTCCCACGACAGAACGGGATGAGTGACTTCCGTAGCGCGATCAACGAGCGTCTCCCTCTACCACTGTATACATCGGTTAGCAACCAACAGGACAACGAGCCCGTGACTTAGTGGTTAGGGGCTTTCGACTTTTAACTAACAGGTCGCCGGATCGAGCTCCAGATGTTCCACACTTCGAGGTTCGGTGCGGCCAGCTGACGAGGGCCAATAAGCCAGAAATGGCCATTCCAGTCTCCCCTGTCTTCGTCAGCAATGCTATTCTACCCAACCTGAGATTATTATATGTTGTAATAATACAAAGTCTTTAAGTAGCATGCTTTAACTTACGCTACACAATTAGTGCTCACGTAATGTGCAGCTCCGGAGGAAACACGTCTAATAAACGCCCCATGTGAAAACGGATAAAGCCAGCAACTTGACTTTTGCAGAATTCACGAGGACGATCTGCTCATTCGTTAGTAAATGTCACATTTTCTCATCCCTCGGGATCGTAAAACAGGTTGCTGTACAGTGCAGGGTTAGGCAGGTTGTGTGACTATGACTTTCCTTCACTTTGGTATGATGACATCTTTGCTTGGCATTTCCAAAATGGCGGTTCCTGCAACGTACGCATTTTTTGCATTTCCAAACCAGGAAACGTCCAAAAACCAGGTCTCCATGCCACAGGATGATCCCCAAGTGGTGCGAGAATTGTTACGTCACCTCTATACCCCCGGCGGTCGGGAGATGGACAGTAAGTTGTGTTCGTTTGTTTAAATACTCACCAGAGACTTTCACTTCTCTTGTTGATCTTTCGAGATAGTGTCAGATTGCCGCGTCATCTGCCCCGACCAGGCGCTTCACACTGGCGGTGTAGGCAAATGCATTTTATCAACATCGGCAAAGTGATATGGTAATTAGGGTGATCATTCAACCCAAGGATCTAGGTCGCCATTGCCCCTTCTTTACCGGTATGTGGGGAACGCTTGTATTCAGGTAAAACGAATGCCTATTCAGTCTCAAGACCCTTGCTGAAGTTGAAGAACTCCACAAAGTGAGTCATGTGGTGGGACCTACTTTCAAGAACCCTGTTAAGGGGGGGGGGAGGTCGGGCGCATTTCAAATGCACGCAGTCGGAAGAAACCTACCAAACAAACACACCCTCCTTGGGTTGACCCGTTCAGATGAATTTTCAGTTTAATGTGAAAGTAGAGCTTAATTTTAGATCGTGGTAGCAATGCGGAAATAGGCATGGTCACCTTGTCTTGGAATTTAGACCCACAATCAGGATACTTCAGTGAGAACCGCTACTACACGACTTTACATATTCCGAACCAGAACCTACAGAACGCAGCTGCATGATTCAAAATGTAGAGCGTCTGACTACATGATCAAACAAACCGGGGTTTCTGTCTCAGACCATTCTCGCCTTGTGTAGGAGCATAAGCGTCTTTCAACGATGAGCAAGAGTGAAAAATTCTGAAGAAGGAGAAGATTAGTTCGCTGAAGCAGGAATTCTACCGGCCTGACGTTTCGGATTCTCACAAAGACCCATCATCAGGTGCAGTCTCAAACTGTCGATTGTTGCTGATGATGCGCTTGAGCGACAGTCCGAAATGTTAGCCTATTAAGCGTCCTGTTACGGTTATTTAATCTCATTCTCCAGACCATCTTTATGGAACTCACCTATTCGCTTCCATGGACAAGTTTAAAAAGACCTTCCCAGTCATCCATGCAATTTGGGGTCTACAAGCGGGCTCTACGGGATCAACGGCTTCTCACTCCTCACGCATTTAATTAAATAGATTTCAACGCGACATAAAGGCCAGAAATTCTGATATTAAACCTGGATACCCGACCTTGCCTGCTGTCAGAGCAGTTATATGCTTAGCACTGATGATCGATCAAGCATTCGATGGATGTTTTTCGTTGGCTTGTGTGTTCAGGATAAGGTTCGAGTTGCTACCAGGCCGTAGTACCTAAAGTTTTCCCCAATATATATCCAAGTTAGATAAATCTACCCTCGAACTGCAGGCCCTTTTTGAGGTTTCCTTCTTCAAAACCATACGCGAGCTTTTAATCTCGAATATCACGAGCATCTAGATTCCAACCAGGGTTCGTCAATCCTACCTTCTAAATGTGATTCGTAACCAACCACCACCTTGCACCTGGGATGAATAAATCGCTAAGCCGTTGCCGTGAGAGATATTTCACCTTCTCTCCCTCCCCCGCCCCTACCACCCGCTTTTCTGGTGCATTTCACGCATCAGTTCACGCATAGCCGTTGGGCTCTTTTTGACTGTGTATACCTGGGAAGCTTGCGGAATACAAATTAGATGGAGGCCTTTTCACTTTTCACAACATCCCCTGCACGCTCGCGCTCCGATTGGCTATTCGAGCGTCGCATTACTCTGACACACTAATCCGCCAACCGCCCTCGACAGCAGTGCTGCCTACGCGACCTGTCATCACTCCAATGTTTTCGACCTGATGAGGTCACACCTAACTCACAAGCAATCACCGAAAGACAGCAGCAGACTCGGGACTGCAACTCTATAAGCATATAGGAACTGCGTGTGTGTGAAAGTCGAGGGCTTGTGACGGCGGGGAGCATGGTCGTCTTGGTTCCTCCGTAGATCGAGGCGTAAGCAAGGCAGGTTAGCAGATCCCATAGAAAAGAAGCTTGTAGCAACAACGAGTACCTGGCATGTAATATTAAGGCTACCAAGAGTAGTATCGCCTTTATAATAAATGATACTAGCCACTAATATAACCGTCATCAATATCTGTTAGCCATCTTGGAATTACATTTTCAATACCCGCTTTAAAAAGGAAGTTTGTTTTGGTGCAAAGAATCACTGGTATTCCGAAAAGTTTTCCGCTCAATAAATGCTAATCAATTGGCGCACAATCGGTTGAATATGATGGATGACGCAAATGTTCCCACCCTAAACCTCGAATCTTGTTCTGGATCTGTCGGGCTGAATGCGATCAAGCGTTGCCATAGGACAGAATGACACTTTTAGTATTGATAAGCGCTGAATGTTTCCCGTCAAGAGCCTGGTCCAGACTTTCTAACTGTTGGCAATAGAGGTTACGGTCTGACCTTGTTCCAGTAGCTCAAAGCGAAGTATGCCTACCACAGTCCACTAAACACGGCAAGAATCTCCTAGGGTATGGGCCGGATTGCGGCATAAGAACTGGTACCTGACTTGTGGAAAACCACTGGTATTTACGCTCGTTGTTGACACAAGGAGTTCATTTTTCATCTCCAGTGACAATTCAATGAGGAAATAGTGGTAACAATCGGGAGATGGCACCCAAAAAATCTGCCTAATCAAAGCGGCCTGTCTTACGGGACAGGTGGTAATAGGGGTTTTATGGGTGGTGACTGGTCGGGATGTACGATACTAACCGACGGAAAGCCTTATTTGAACAGGCGAATGATCGGAGTTGGCCCGCTCTCCGTTCCGTTATTACAAAATTGGTCGCCAAAGGCAGGATAGTGATAACGGACGAGTTGAAGGCGTATAATCGTCTTCCCTCAAAAGGTTATCTACATTTCTCTGTTAACCACTCAAAGAACCTCAAGGACCCTACCACCGGACGCAACACCAATGCCATTGAGGCATACTGGAATAGAATGAAAAGGAAATTCCACGAGGGAGGCCCTGTATGTGATCGAGCTGTGTGGGTTCACAGAGACGAAGTGCAGTATCGTCTTTGGTTTGGCCTAAATGCCATGTCTTTGACAGATGCCTGGGAACTGTTCCTGTCCCATGCTGTGCAGACTTATCCTATTTAAAAGTTATTATGTTTTGTAATATACTGGCATAATGCGAATGTATGCCGTATACTCAGGTGTACGTGTGTAACGATGGGGAAGGTTGGGTAACAGCGACCATCGTCCATGTAACCTCCTACGATGTTCGTTCGGCCAGCCCATGTTAGGCCGTCGGGTAAAGTCCAAGTAGTGCGTGAAAGTAGGCCTGCAACCGCTGATATAGCCTGAAGGCGTTTGAGTCCACTGTTAAAGGTATTATTTCTAGGTAACAGATTTTTTTGGGTGCCATCTCCCGATTGTTACCGAAATAGTTTCCACTCCTCTCTGCCTAGCAAAACGTTGCAGATTGTGGGATGCTAGATTTTGTTTTTTTTATCAAAAATTGGCGTGGAAACCAAACTCTCAGTCTACTGAAGGTGCTTCCGGACAATAAGCCATGGCGAATTTCGTTTTTCGGATAATTGTCCGATGATCTGTCGAGGATCTGCCTCAACAGGTGCTCTCAAAAGGCCACTGTCCAGCTCCATATGCGATCGGAGAGGTTGGAATCGTCCAATCGGAATTTCGCCAACCAATGTCGGCACTGGCGGAGACTTAAGGCCTTCGGATAGGCACAACAAATTGCTTTTGTGGCTTTTGTTGCGTTGGTTATCCTGCGAAATTCCCGCAGCATACAACGACAAACATGAGCTAGTTGATTAACGACTGGGACAGACAAGACATTAGCTAACTAACATTCCAAAAAAAAGCGAAATTGCGCCCCCTTACCCCTAATACTCTTACGGCAACAGGTGACTGCTTTCTGTTTGGGCAGACGTACTGATTGAGTTTTTGCACGCAGACACGCGGGACTTTACTTATCCTTTTTGGGTATTTTAACGCAGAAAAACACCGGTAGACTAGGTGGTTAGTGAAGGTGGGCGGAGGGCACGTACAACTGCGAAACCGATGTTTAGAAGAGGTTGCATAGTCTTGATCGAAAGTGGGATGAGGAGAGCGCGCGGTATGCACATGCGTTTTCAGTTGAGGGCGTCTGGTGAATGTTCTGCCTGATGCACCAGCGCAGCTATTTGTACAGGCGCAGCCGGTTTTGCACTGTCGCAGGTATTGTTTGGGTCCAGGTATTGACAGAAGTGGGCATTAACTATCCCTAAAACACTTGCTGCCTCCCTCTGACCTGCGCCTGTGACTGTCTGCTTGGCGGTCTGTTAGTTGGGTGTCTGTTTGTGTTCTCTGCCATTACCCTCTCGGGGATTGGTTGGTTCGCCTATTCCTCTGCACGCAAACCGATCCGGGCACTTATGCAGCGCGGAAGGCGTCGCGTGTGCAGCACGCTTAGACGGGCTCTCTAACACTCTCAGTCACTGCTTCCATGCTAGCCTTTACACTTCCTTGCCGTCGGAGCAAGATGGGCAGGAAAAGGGGGAGTGTGATAGGCGCTGCGAAAGTCCGCGTCACTATAAACTAGTTCACGCGCAAATCTCTGGTATCGCACCCACTCCGTGGGGCACGCGGTGAGCACTGTGGCTTGCGACGACCAAATTGCCATTAGTCAGACCCATATCCAATTAATCGCAGTAAGGACTAACAGACACGGAGGCGTTAATGAAACTTCCGGCGAGAATTATGTCTTCTCCACAAGCCATCTTACGCAGTATGCGTGCACGCATATTAGTTTCTGGCAATAGATCTCTTCCCGATTGGTGCGCGCCCTTTTAACTGTTCCCTTGTCGCTGATAGAAGCGAACAGGCGAGTTCCAGATAGCAGTTCAGAAGACGAAGATGCGATCACTGGAACAAGAAATGTATTGGCCTGACGTTTCGGATTCTCACACGAATCCATCATCAGAGACATTCGCAGATAAAGGTGCGAATATCTCTGATGATGGATTCGAGTGAGAATCCGAAACGTCAGGCCAATAAATTTCTTGTTCCAGTGATCGCATCTTCGCCTTTGGTTCCCTAGTCCTTGTGCCCACCCCCTACTGTTCTGCCTCATCTGTCGGCGGCAGGGTCGCACCAGACTTTTGCACCTGCCTGGTCGGGCAGTCATCCTCCCGACGCATGACTTGTGCACTGTTGCGTTCCAAGGACGTGGCACCGGGTTTCAACACAGGCGAGATAGTGAACCCATACCGATCATTGTTTTTGCATGTTTGCTCTTGCGCATCTGCTTTCGCTCGGCAAACCCACCGACCTATCAACCAACACGTCACGTATTTTGTCACTTAACTTAGCGTTCTAAGACTAAACTTGTTGGCAATGCACTGATGATATAGAACGCACCTACCGTAGCGTTTATCATCATGCATCTAACCTACTCCGTGTTTCAGGAGGGACCTCAGCAACTGCAAGTCATCTGAAGGGAAGTTACTCACCTTGGAAGAGCACTGTCTTGGGTTTCAACACTCACCGGACCTCTTGGCCTTCTGGGCTTGGGATATAGTTAACTGGCAATCCACTCTTAGCTTACTGACCTTTTTGCGGTCTTACCCATAGGGTTCACTCATCTGCAACAAAGAGTATCTGTTCCGCAACAAAGTCTGATTGTAGAGACTAAACAGGCCTTTGCTCAATAGCTCAGCTGAAATACCTCATAAATGCGGGGGTAGAACATTCGAAGTGAGTCAAACGAAATCCTTAAAAAAGGCCAAAGGTGTGATCTGAATGGGTCTGGGTTTTCGTACGAGGAGAGGACGCAGCCCGCATGCTTCTTCAGGCAGAAGATAGCTAAAGCGCAGTCATTTTCATTTATTCTTGTGTCGGCGAACTCAGCTTTCTTCTTGAGAACGATGAAATAGAGGGTGATAACGTCAGTCTCAGGAAGTCGGCTCTGATTATCCGACATTTTAAACAGCATACAAGCTTCCATCCTCAGCGTTGCATTGGCCTCGCGTCTCTGGATCCCTTCTATTTTCACACCGAAGTTGGTCATGGGTTTAGTGGCTGACGCGATATATAGCCGCCGTCTACGCGTGCAACACGCGTGCCGTCCTGCGCCAACCAGACACCATCCACCGGGCAGAAGTCTCTGTTCTGAGGATTACTTTCTTCTTATTCTGCCAGCTGGCAGTACTTCCGGCTATAACTTTTGTACTACCGTTATAGCTTGAAGGTGTTTCTGATCTGTTAGAGTGGAGATTGATCTCGTAGGATCTGCTTCAGTTGACTGCACCCGTCGGCTAATGACAAAACCGAACAAGGGGGAATAAAGATTAGATCAGGCGACTAGTTGGTCCGCTGTTCTGTCCCGTCAAACACACACACACACACACATGTGCAGGAGGATAGCAAACGCATAAAAAGACCGGATACTGAGGAGAGACCTTTTAACTCCTCACATTTTACGCGGAAACGCCCATTTTTGTATCCTCCCTTCCCGCTTCTTCTCGGCCGACACGCCCAAGTAAAAGTGGAGACATCGTTGGCAGCGGCCTGTATTTACGTACGTATTTTAACAGTTGGTGTTAGGTATGTCTGAGGTCTACTGATTTACTCACCTGGAAGGCATCTCACCACGGCTCATGAATTCAGCAAGAGAAATTCAACAAGCGTCTCATCCAACAGTCTCTTGTCTAAATTGTCATCGTGTTACGTTAATGCTGAATATAATTACTATGGCACATCCCTAAAACGCGTCTGAGAGCCCTCGTTGGTTTGGTGTCTGACTGGGTAAAGTAATAAGCCAAAAATGGCCCTTCCTGTGTCCTCTACCTTCGTGAATAACGCTTCTGGAATACTCCACATTGTTGTGAAACAATTATTTGACCTTTCAGTATTTGTATGAGATGGGGCGTTCTATTTTCCAGTCATGAGTGTTCACCTTTTTTATCTTCGACATTTGCGACGTCAGTTGCTTGTTTGTCTCCAACTGCAGGTAAACACGTACTTCCACTTGCATTAAAGTCTACAAGACCCAGTAGAGACCGTCCTGTCGACTAGCCATTCACACCGTACTAGACCACAACGTCGCCCTTCAAAACCGCCGTAAATCCCTTCAGGAACTCAGAGTGAGTGTATAAGTAACCCGCAAGTACCCAGAAAGGGTGAGTTGCACCAATAAACTATGCGCATATAGCTAGCAAAGTAGTTGCGGAATGTTTTACCGGGAGGGGATGTATTGTTGATACCGACCAAGCCAATTGACGACAAGAAGCTTGGGAGGTGAATCTCCGTCCGTTAGCACATCCGCTGTCTAACTGGTGCGTCTGTAGGTTGCGAATGATGGAACGCGTCCTCACCGCGCAACGAAGGCGAATCGGTAGGCTCTTGAATCTGACAAATAAGCAGTCGCGGTCCCAACAGCGGTTTTGCCTTCCAGCGTGACTGGGCATTGATCTGACCAATCGGGTACTCATGGGAAGATCACAAGCCGTAGCAGTATCACGACTTGACAAATGCGAAATTTCGAGTTCCAGGTGTATACATCAGTAAAGGAGAAGAGGTGTCGAGCACCGGAACATGTTGTTTATTGTCCTGAGCTTTCGAAATCGTGCAGGATTTCATCTTCAGAGATGGAAACAGCAACAGAACGAGTGATAGTTATAGGGCATTTAAGCCAATCACCGACCGACAGCGCAAGACTGAAGGTGGCTGCGCAGGGCTCAGTACGCCGGCGTCAGATCGATAAATCGACTGACTGCCTGACTCCTGTTCTGTCCGGCACACTACTGGAATCTAAAACGCGTATGGATGACAGCATCCACCTTCAAATGAACGAGTTAGAGGAAACCACTCTCCGTCCCCACCAGGCCGATCACATTACAGGCACCCACTGAGCCATGGATAACCTCGGTTTTCTTGATGACTGCAGTTCCATGATCCACGCGCTTGGGTCGGACCTTTCGATGGCCACTGGAGCCAAGTAAGACCATTTCCTGTCTAAACAACGGATATGCTTGCTGCGCAACATAAATACTTACTAACTGAATTACCACAAGGAATTACCCACAAGGAAGGGCGGAGCAATGGCACTTATAACTCGAGGCGGTCCCTTTGGTGCACATCAAAATCGATCATCTTGCTGGTATGGGGTACTTGTTTCCGTTTGACCAAGGTCGTCAAGTGACTGTGTCTTTCGGTGAGAATCAGCTCAGCAAGAGCGGGGAGTTATGGACTCAACCTCATCCGGTGGAAAGTGTTCTTAGTCTTACCCGACGGACGAAGAGAATACGTGCACGTAGCCGTTAGGCAAATATCCTTTTTTTCTCTTTGTAATTCGCAAATGGCTAGACGTTTGACCCCCCACCAAATAACGTCGAAGATTGTTCCAATGACTGTGTCTGGGGGGGGGGCAGGTTTAAAGTGTTCTTCACGTCCGAATGCAACAATGTGTCCACTTTTTCGGGTTCGTTTTGCCGCATGCGGCAATGGGAAGGCATCGTGCGGACGGTGCTGGCGGTTGTCTTTTTTGATCTGCACACGGTCCTGTCTCCTTTCCCACTGGTCACGTATGCGCCTCGCGCTGATTTGGTCCAGTTAACGATCAACCAATCAGGCGTGCCCTGTGCTGTTTGCCGCCGGCGGACACCGTGTCACGAATCGCAAACTTATCTATTTTGCGTGACCTTGACGCTGGGTATTTTCGCTCCCGCGCGCCTGCCTGTTTCGAAATCCAGTGGCGTTTAAGTGCCCCATTTGGCCTCTAACGTTTTCACCTGTCGAAGACTTAAGGCTACCTAATTTCCTTTTATTTGCTTTGCGCGTGGTGCAGATCTGGTCGCGTCAGCGCTTGGAATAGGGACGAATTTAGCAATGATGTTGTAAATCCGGCTTCGGAAACACGATTTGGTTATTCTAGCTTCTCATTTACCAACATTCAGGAAAGCGAAGAGGAAAACGTCTGGACGAATTAACTTTCCATAATGTGAATCAGAGGAAGACGCAACTTAAGTTTTCCACAATCCCTGTATACGGACATCCTAGTTGCGACGATTATCCCTTCGTCCCAACCTGATCTGGTCGGAAGAAGTTCGTCTCGTCTGAGTAGGCGTAAAGCACGCATGCGACGTTGCAGTCTGCTCGTGCTGGTGCGCTTAGAGATCATGACAGTTCAGTCGTCGATTGAGACGATGTCCACCGTGTGCTCCACAGCAGGGATAGAGATTTGCGTATTAAATCAGTTACCTAAAGATGCCGGCTTTCGAACAAACTTCCTGCCGGCCACATGCAAAAACTACGCTCTGTAAAAAATGGCTACTTATGTAGCATGCATTTTTTCTCATTGCTTTTGAATGGTTTTAAAAATTTAAATATTTTGAATGGAAAACACGCATAAAAATATTCATTCTTTTCTTCGTTCGGTCGAATGTTACGTATTCTTTCAACTTTATTCTCAAAGGAAGGGTATAATTCGGTTTTAAAAAAAGTTTCTAATTGGGAGACGTTTTAATGCCGTGAGGTGTCCGTTCATAAAACTTTATTCCTCTGCATTTACTAATGTTACTTGTAAAGCTTACAATATGGCTCAAATCCACTGCTATATTTTATGAACCCCATATTGTCTCCTCCCCATATAGTCTCCTCTACGGTAGAGGAATATATGGTTTTCCGTACCCGCAAAATATACGGCTTGTAGGATTGAAACCCTGAATACAAGTGTAATGGCTGGTCGAGTTCAAAATTTTTCGGGAATTGGAAAAGTTTTAAAAAACCGAATTATGCCCTTTCTCTAAGTATAAAATTTAAAGAAGACGTAAAACTTATCTTTTAAGTATCCACATAGAGAGGTATGAGGTTTTGTAAACAAGGAGGATATTCTGTGAAACCCCTCCGTGAGATTTCATGAGGGTAAAGTCTTAGATCAGAAAGGTTGTGTGGGGTACCGCATCTAGGAGAAAATAAAACTCTCCTTCTTCAAAAACTTTTCTAACTCTTGATGCGGCAGACTGTGACAGTAAGTCCAAGCAAATAGAACCAGTCACAGCGCCATCAAAAATAATCGTCCGAAGAGCCTCATCTTCACAAGAAGCATCAGCTGAGCTGTCCGCTGTTGAGGAGTTTATGCATTTTGGGACACCTTGCATAGGGCATACTTTTTCTGTCAAGTCCCTCTAGGTCAAATACTCGACTGCACATAGGCAGCGTAATGACTTTTCTCGAATAAGCCGAGTAAAGCTGATCAGAAAGTTTATCACTTGAAGGGGAGAGTTCCGGGATGTGGTATTTCGGAAACGCAGGATATTATGACTTCATAATTACACCTGGTGTTATTTTATACTTCGAGATCCAGTCAACTTTTCGTTTTTTTCCTACGCTCCCAAACCATACGCCTCCCCTCCCCCCTTGAAAAGAATGTACCACTTACGCTCGCATTCCATGGCCAAACATCTTAGTGCCCATTAAATGCCTGAATAGTCTGCATCCGATTATGTGCTTTACATGAGGAATTAGAGAGCGTTGTACATTTAACTTATCGAAGTTCATAAGGATGATGAGGAGTATTGTTGGCTATGTAGATGCAGACGAGAAGGAAAGAGAAGAAAATTCTAATGAGGGGGCTGATCAGAGGGAAGGAGGACCACGAAAAAGGCAATTTAGCGAGCATACGTAAGCTTTCGATGAATTCTCATCAGGTCTATACAGTTATATTGTTGTTGAAATTATTAAAAGGAAAATGCGGACAAGCAGATGTTATTCAGGACAGACCACTTCTAGGTGTATTTACCCCTTCACCTGCTCCTGTGGGGCAGAATACATTGGTCGCACGAGCCGGCGTTTGTCCAAAAGAATATGGCAACAGCAGAGGCGGCTGCAATCAGGCTATACAAAACAGTTCTATTGGCCAAAGCCACCATGCCAGCCACCTACGTATAATTACCCGTCCCAGTGCCCACCATCCCCTTCTACCCCCTGACACTGACGGTAATTTTGTTTTTTACCTCACCCACCCAGACTCTCCGCCCCCAAACCCCGGCTACAGAGTAACTTCTGCTTGCCCGCAATTTCCTTTTAATCATTTCGACGGCGCTATAAATGTATAGGCCTCATGAGAATTTATCGAAAGCTCATGTATGTTCGCCAAATCGTCTTTTGAATTCTTCAGTGGGTAGAAGGATGTCTGAAAGGCCCATAATTATGTGGTGAACAAGAGTAGGGAAAATAGGACCGTTATCATGATAACTGTAGTAGTAGTAGTAGTAGTAGTAGTAGTAGTGGCGGTGGCAGTGGTGGGGATGGCGGCGACGGTGTGAGGGAGGGGGGAGAGGGACAGTTCTCCGAGGTGGAGGAGGAGGAGGAGGAGGAGGAGGAGGAGGAGGAGACCATGTTGCGCCTGTAATGTATTTTTGGAAACGGTGGCTCTCATATCTCCAAAAAGGTTCCCTTGCCGTTTTAGTTTTATTCCTTTAGATTTTATTCGTGTCGACCACATGGGCGTTTGCACATTGCCGACGCCCTGTCCCCTCTATCGTGTTTTTTCCTGCCCACTTTTTGCCAGCATGTTAATTGTCATCTGAGCTGTTTGATCGGTCGGCTTGCGTCCCCCCCCCCAGGTGTTTCGGTGACGATCGGCTCCACTTGATTCTGACTTTTATCTGGTCTGTGTTCTGACTGATTGTAGACAAGCATCTGGCCCACAGTATACTCTCCAAACTGTTCCGCCTCATTTGAACACTGAGAATAAGCTGATTTCTGCCTGCCTGTCTGTGCCCACTTATTGTAGGCGCCGCAGCGGAACGTCTCTTGCCCCTGATCCACCGATACCAGATCGACTCCCTTGTCTCCACCGCAGAACGGACGCTCACCTACAGCCTGACAGACAGTCTGGCGCCCAAGATGCTCAGCCTCGCCGACCTCTATGGTCTGGAGCGACTGAAACAGGCAGCCATTGATTCCTGCTCCCGTCTCGACATGCCACGACTGTCCGCCTACTTTGATGAGGCCCAGATCTCCACGGATCTCAGGGCTACTGTCTTCGCGTATGTCCGTTTTCCTCCTCCTCCTCCTCCTCCTCCTTGTTTTCGAAGGCACTACCGGTTAGATGGTAGTTGGTAGCCCTCCCGGTATCGAAAACTCCCAGCTACTTGACTTACGGGACCGGTGGTAATAGGGGCTATACGGGTGGGGCAAATGAGCGGAGGCGTAAATGACGCTTGTAGGGAATGCCTGGAATTGACGATCCTGATAAAGTGGAAACCTAATTTAAATAAGGTGAAAAATGCGAGGAAGATGAACACTTCGGATCTGACTGACGTATGAGACGCCTTGCTGTTGCAGTCTGAACCCAAGAAGTAGTAAGTGCGCGATGTGGTAGGTGAAGTGCGCCCAGTTCAAACCCAGCAATGTCGAAGCGCCCGGAGGGGGAGTGCCGTAGTGCCTTAAACTGGAAGTGCAGGAAAGGATCGCTAACTGACCATGGCGGTGTTTACAAGGCGTCACAGTTTTCAGCCAAACCCCTGCGACCAAATACAACCGGGCCGTTCGTAAAGGTGGGGGGTGGAGGGCAACACTCTGTCAATACGACTGATACAGTGGATGGAGTATCGGTAGACACCCTAACTGAGCGTCGGTTGTCCTTTCGTACACGATCGCACCGGACTCTACTGGAGGTCTGGAGTAAAAAGACCCAAGGATGCAGGCAAACCGACGAAACGGAGACCCACGCCAATCCGCCTAGGATAGTACCTATGCAATTAATCTGATGCAGGTAATACTGTGCGCACATGCAACTAGAAGCATAATGGGAAGCATGATGAATCATAATCCGTTTAGGATAAATCTTTCGCCTTTTACTAAAGATTTCCGTGTGGGGGTGCAATACAATGAGTCTATATAGATAGTCTTGCAGCGCCTCGTTCTCGGGGCGGTTAAAGTGAAGAAGAAAGTCATCCTGACAGGGCCTCTGTGCGTGCACCCCCAAACATAATGAGAACGTTATCAAAGATACCGAAATCGAGCCAGTATGTACAATTGTAGAATCAGTGGGCAGGGCTACCAACTACCATCCTGCCGCACTACCAATTTTTATGTAATACTCCAGAGTATCCTCATCACAAGGTAGTGATTTCACCAAATTTCCCGGTTACTTTTCGTTAGAGGCATTATCCTGCGGTCATCAACCGACGAATTAGCGATTGTGATAGTAGAAAAGCTCTTTACCTGGCTTTGCCTAGGAGACAGTCTCCCTGTGCACGTATCACTTGGGTGCTTCCAACTCGGCTGGCTAGAGTTAAACGACAGCTTTTAAAATACGTTGTCTTCCGTTAAAATACATGGCGGGTTATTTTTGTCCGTGAAATGTATCCTCCAGTAATGAAACATGTGGCTGAAAAAGAGCATTTGCCTGAAGCAGCTGTTGGTTAAAAACTATAGGTAGTTGTATTACTTCATAAGAACTGAATTGCCTCGTATTTCCGTTCTTATATCAGCAGATAAATAAGTCACGATCTCAGGATAATTGTCTTCTACCCACAGTGAATGACCGATCTCATTAAATGTTGGGCGAAATTTTGAAATGCGCTTTCAAATAGGAAGGATTACTTAGGCGCGGTTGTAATACTGATTATCTTGCGGCATATTCCTATAATATTTCAGACGCCGCAGGATGTCAACTTTTGAATACACTGCTTCTCTATCTCCCGTAGATGCCGTTTTCGGTAAAAAAAAATGACTTTTTATGTAGCATGCATCGTGTCCGTTGATTTTTAATGGTCTTACAAATTCAAATATATTTTATAGAAAGCACGAACAAAAATATTTTTTCAGTCGTTTGATAGATAATCACGTCACCTTTATATTTTACATTCGAAAAAAGAGTATTATTGGGTTTCTAAAAAGTTTTCTAATTGCCGAATAATTTGGAGCCTGATCAGTCGTTGCACTGGCGCTTATTGGTTTCAGTCTACAAGGTGCATGCGTTCCGCGTAAAGAAAATCACATATTCTTGTATGCCTTTTAAAATATATCGTATGGAGTCCGAAAAAATTTGTAATGGATGCGGACTATGTTGTACATTTCATAAGGAGCAGTGTTGAACGGATATACACGATACTGTGTGAATGAACATTGAACTGTCTCAAAAAATCTCATAATTGGAAACCTTTTGAAAATCCAATAATACTCCTTCTTCGAATATAAAATATAAAGATGATGTGATTATCTATCAAACAACTAAAAAAAGCATATTTTCGTTCGTGGTTTCTATAAAATATATTTGAATTTATAAGACCATCAAAATCAATGGGAAAAATGCATGCTTTCAGTTGGAACGTCACAAGAGAGGGTGTGTGCTTAAAAACCGTTGCCGTCAGTTGATGGGCTCTGCTCTGGGACACCAGGTGTCAAACCCTTCGCTGTAAAAAAATACGCATTTCTTACCGAATTTCCAAGCCGCATTTTCTGAGTACTCGCTAATTGGGTCATTGGAGTTAAGTTCAAGAAGAGAGAAAGACAAGGACGACAAAAACAGTGGTTTTTGACATTTTTACTCTTCCCAGTCAAACCTACTCCGCGTAGGTCACTCCTCTTCGGCTGCGCGCAGGTCGTACATACGGTCCGCATTTTATTCGCTCTCATCGAGAATACTGACCTTGATAGTAACTTGCGCTGGCGGTTGTTGTTTGACGAGTATTCACCGATTCCAGCCAATCAGGGACGTCCATCTGCAACTAACCCGCCTTTATGGAAATCATATCAGGTACTAATAGAAGCGAAGACGCGAGCTCCAGGAAACAGTCTTGAAGAAGGAGACACGATCACTGGGACAAGAGCTTCATCAGCCTGACGTTTCGGATTCCTGCTCGAACCCATCATCAGAGACCAAAGCAGATACGGGTGGGCCCTCTTCAAGACTGCTTCTTGGGACTCGTCTCTTCGCTGTTATTGGCAATGTATTTGGGCGCGATGCGCTCCGATCGGCCCGGTGATGAGAAGCCTTCGCCCTTCGGGAGGCCTCCACGTATTGGCAGATCCGGTTTCTGCACAGGTGTCTCGACAATAATGTGTTACCGAAATGTGTTCCATACAAGCCCTCGGTTTACACGGATTTGGCGAGATGTCAACTTTTGAATACAGTGCTTCTCAATCTCCCCTAGATGCCGCACTCGGCAAAAAATGACTACTTATGTAGCATGCATTGTTCCCATTGATTTTTGACGGTCTTACAAATTCAAATATATTTTATAGAAACCACGAACAAAAGTATGCTTTTTTAGTTTATAAAACCACGTCACTTTATATTTTATATTTGAAAAAGGTGTATAACTGGGTTGTTAAAAAGTTTTCTAATTGCCGAATAATTTAGAGCCTGATCAGTCGTTGCACTGACGCTTAATGATTTCAGTCTATAAACTGCATGCGTTTCGCATAAAGAAAATCACATATTCTTATATGCCTTTTAAAAGATATCGTATGGAGTCCGTAAAATTTTGCAATGGATGCGGACTATTTTGTACATTTCATAAGGAGCAGTGTTGAACGGATACGCACGATACTGTGTGAATGAACATCGAACGGTCTCAACAAATCTCATAATTGGAAACCTTTTAAAAGCCCAATAATACTTCTTTTTCGAATATAAAATATAAAGATGACATGATTATCTATCAAACGACTAAAAAGCATATTTTTGTTCGTGGTTTCTGTAAAATATATTTGAATTTATAAGACCATCAAAATCAATGGGAAAAATGCATGCCGTCAGTTGATGGGCTCTGCTCTGGGACACCGGGTGTCAAACCCTTCGCTTTAAAAAAAATAAACATTTCTTACCGAATTTTCAAGCCGCATTTTCTGAGTACTCGCTCAATGGGTCATTGGAGTTAAGTTCAAGAAGAGAGAAAGACAAGGACGACAAAAACAGTGGTTTTTGACATTTTTACTCTTCCCAGTCAAACCTACTCCGCGTAGGGCACTCCTCTTCGGCTGCACGCAGGTCGTACATACGGTCCGCATTTTATTCGCTCCCATCGAGAATACTGACCTTGATAGTAACTTGCGCTGGCGCTTGTTGTTTGACGAGTGGTCACCGATTCCAGCCAATCTGGGACGTCCATCTGCAACTAACCCGCCTTTATGGAGATCATATCAGGTACTAATAGAAGCGAAGACGCGAGCTCCAGGAAGCAGTCATGAAGAAGGAGACACGATCGCTTGGACAAGAGCTTCATTAGCCTGACGTTTCGGATTCCTGCACGAACCCATCTTCAGAGACAAAAGCAGATACGGGTGGTCCCTCTTCAAGACTGTTTCTTGGGACTCGTCTCTTCGCTTTTATTGGCAATGTATTTGGGCGCAATGCGCTCCGATCGGCCCGGTGATGGGAAGCCTTCGCCCTTCGGGAGGCCTCCACGTATTCGCAGATCCGGTTTCTGCACAGGTGTCTCGACAATAATGTGTTGTCGAAATGTGTTCCATACAAGCCCTCGGTTAACACGGATTTGGCGAGACGAGCAGTATTTCATAGGTATGCGGTAGCATGGCGACTGCATCCTATAAATATTGCAGCCTCTTGTGCATGAACCAACCGTATCTGCTTTTCTCTCCGATGATGGGTTCGAGCAGGAATCCGAAACGTCAGGTTAATTAAGCTCTTGTCCCAGCGTTCGTGTCTCCTTCTTCATATCAGGTACTCTCGGCAGGCATACTTTAGCCTATCCGAAATTAATGCTGCGCCAGTGACGCTGCCGTGAATCGCAACCAGCCTCCGTGCCTTTAGTCTTCTCAGCGCTTGCCTTTGAAGCCGAAGGATCGTTGTTGCAATCATATTTGAGACACTGAGATGCCCCAAAGTTTGTGGCTGTGCAGTCATTTCGCTTTTAATCTCGCTTTACTGTGAATGGACAATCCGATAGGGAGGGCACCTTTGACAATGCATGCTCTCTGGTAGCAGTCGAACGCGTATCCAGTGCTGCCCTTCAAAAAGGCGAGTCCGCATCGAGCTCGAAAACGTTCGAATCTGTTCTGAACTCGGTTAGCCAATCATGCAGCGCGTTTTCCATCCACGAGCCCATTGGAGTGTTCCAAGGCCAACGTGTGCACAATCAGTCGTATGCCGACCTTGAGGTGAGTCACTAGTTGAAAGACGACTGACATTTCAGTGTTGTCACAATTTTCGCTCAGGTGGGTTCTGGTGTTCACCGAATGTATCCTGATGCTGCTTAACTGCCTGTTGTGAAGCACACGCCAGGTTTTTTAGACTGTTTATTGGCAATTTACATGGAGATACAATCGATCTCCGTCGGGACGTTGCGCCAGCATTATAACAGATCTTCTTAAGCAATACCGTTAACAGATGTTATTAACCGGCAGTTACTATCGACAGAGAAGGAAGATCTTTATGTAGCCACTTTTACTCAATTAATAGCCATATCCCAACCTCAGGATAGAACTCAAAGTCTTTAGGTCGTCTTTGTGCTTTTACAGCGCGTATGACTTTCATCTAGCCCTGGCTAGCGTCGTTGACTTTATTAGGCACTGAGAAGGGCTTGGAAATGCTGGGTAGTATTAGCTTACTGGGAGTATATTCCCAGCAGCTCCATGACAGCAGGCTGTAAGTGAGGAGGATAACGCTCGCTGAATGTGACTTGAATCCCAGTTAATACGACAATTAAAGAGTGGCAAGTGATGAAGCCCGCTTCATGCCCCACGGAGTGGACACAGCATTGGTGACTTGCGTGTGAATTGTTTTTTTTTTAGTAAAACGGACTTGCGCAGAATCTATCACACCGTCTTCTCACTCGCTCGCCTTGCCGGCGACCGGATATGTCTTTGCGTGCCGCACACGACCTGGTCGCACAGCTTTTACCAAGCTGCTATAAGGCGGACTCGGAGCCTAAACAATGAGAGTGCCTAAAGGGTCATATTAAAAAGGCAATCTTTGCGACCTGCCTCTTAGACCTACAGTAGATTTGCTAACTCATAAAATGTCAACCAAAATTTCGAAATGCGTTCTCGTTTCGAAAAGATAAATTAAGTAGTGTTGTAAAACTAACCATGATGCAGCATAAATCTATAATAATCCAGTTACCTCAGAGTGTCGGCTTTCGAAAGAACTTATTTTCGGCTGCATGCAAGATCTATACTCTGCAAAAAATGACTACTTATTTAGTATGCAATTTTCTCATTGATTTTCGATGCCCTTGAAAATTCAATTATATTTCGTGGAAAACATGCATAAAAATATTCATTCTTTTACTTATTTGGTAGAAAATCACGTCTTCTTCCAATTTCATACTCAAAAGAAGAGTATAATTCGGTTTTAAAAACTTTTCTAATTCCAGAATAATTTTGAACCCGACCTGCTGTTACACTTGCATTCAGGGTTTCAAAACTACAAGCTGTATTTTTTCCGTGTACGGAAAACCATGCATTTCTCTACGGTGTTAAGAGGAGACCATATGAGGTTCATAAAATTAAGCAGTAGATTTGAGCAATATTGTCAACTTTACAAGCCACATTCGTAAATGCAGATACACGACGTTTCATCAACGGCCATTTAACGGTTTTAAAAAATCTCCCAATTAGAAACTTTTTTAAAACCGAATTATACTCCTCTTTTGAGTATGAAGTTGGAAGAATACGTGATTTTCTACCGAATAAGTAAAAGAATGAATATTTTTATGCATGTTTTCCACGAAATATAATTGAATTTTCAAGGGCACCGAAAATCAATGAGAAAATTGCATACTACGTAAGAAGTCATTTTCTGCAGAGTATTGAACTTGCATGCAGCCGAAAATAAGTTCTTTCGAAAGTCGACACCCTGAAGTAAATGAATCGTTGTAGATTTATGCTGCATTAAGGTTAGTTTTACATCACTACTTCCTTTATCTTTTCGAAACGAGATCGCAGTTCGAAATTTTGGTTGACATTTCATGAGTTAGCACATCTACTGTAGGAAGGATTGAGTTACGGTCGTCTGCTGGGCATCTTTAGGCCCGGATAACATACTTGCAGAAACACAGTGACAGTTGTCTTTGCGAGAAGTCGCTCTGACTACTGTCTAGCATTCTTATTTAAGAAATAGCTGGGAAAGAACCGACGGGTTTGCATTTCGATTGTTTTTGAGTCAGAATGCTAATCAGCAGTCTTCGCTTGATTTGTTGCTCAGTGACATTCACAAAAATTCATACTAACCCAACTGTGAAAAACTCGGCGCCTCGGTGGGATTCGAACCCACGCAGTAAGCGGAAGACTTTAGTACATAAATTACGTGAGCCTGGTAGTCATCCGGTGGATTCTAGGGTAATTACTTAAGAAATCCTGCTTGGGCAGTCAACTTACTGTATCAGATTTGGTGGATTCCAGACGTTGCAGTAGGTTGGGCGGGTAACTTGACCCAAATATGCTTAAACTCGCGTTGTCCGGCGGGGCCTCGTAGCTCAAGTAGTTAAAGCGTTGGCTGTACTAAAGCCTTTCCCTTACTGCGTGAGTTCGAATCCCACCGAGACGCCGAGTTTTTTACAGTTGGGTCAATATGAATTATTCAAAATCAGCCAAAAAATCTATGACATCAGAAAAATCTCTCTTCAAAGTCACATGACAGAGCGTTTGCTGAACGAACCCGATTTTAGATATCTGTATCACAGTCTCACTGGTCGGTACCAATTATGTTTTTCGAGCATGCATTGCTCATCACAAGGCAACTCGTAAGCAGGGACTCCCTTAGTCAAATAGGGGACCTCTTTTTCGTCCCGCACTCTAGGCTGATCAGTAGCGGAAACCCTGGCGTGGTCTTTGATCTCCCCTAGATAATTTTAAGTTCGGCAAGACATTTATGCGATCAAGAACACTACGGAGGAGTGGAAGGGTCCTTTAAAGTTGCCCCGTGCCATGAATTGCCCCCATTTCATGCTGCTGTGCATTCACTTCATCAGGGAACGAATAAAACTGCTGGAGAAGTATGTCAATGAAATCCAAAACAGTTTTACCCGCTCCTGTGTACGTCTGGAGAGCCGTCTGGAGCGCGTCCCTGTCAACCACTGTCAAGACCACAGCCAGCCTCTCTCCATGAAAACCGTCCGAATCGGCGTGCATTCCGCCGATGCGCAAGGTGGTGCTGCCGTCGCGACAGCCGAGGCCACCTCCACCAATCAGCACGAGGAACGTAGGCTAGCCAATGAGCTGCAGCAGACAACGGACAATGTGTCAATAACACCCGATGGGCTGGTCACACGCCTCAGCCAATCAACGCTAAATTCCCCTACCCGCGGCCTCGAGCCCAGCATTCGATTGGCAACGGCGAGCACAAGTGGGCCTCTGCCGGAGACGGCTGCTTCCACGGCCGCCGCGGGTCCTGAACTCGCGGTCGCGGAGTTGCCGGTGGTTTGCGAGTCCTGTGTGGAACACATGAGTACCTACATCAAGGACCTCTGCAAGCGCGCTCTCCACAAAGCAACTTTTGTGCCCTACAAACCGCCTGCCAATTAAGGTCGGCAGGGGACGGAGGTAGTACCGAGCATCTTTCATCGTGGTAGGCAAGGCAGACACTCATCCACATAACTGTCCTCTCGCCCTCCTTCATCTCACTTCTACTCACCGAACCCCTTCTGACTCACATGGAAAAAAAATCATGCATCCATCTTGCCTTTTTCGCCGATAAAAGAGTGATTCCTGCAAATACAAAAAGATCAGACTTTTTCTCTCTCTCTTTTTCCTGGTGTGTCTAGTTTACAAGTCGGCAAGTTTTTGGTATATGACCGGGGTTAGCTACTCCGTAACACGTAAGATGTCTAGGACAGTAAAATGGAGGAAGGCGATGGTATGTAACTCCCCTGGGAAGCCTGTGATGAGAAACGCTTAACCGTAAGCATTTAATGAAAAGTCGAACGCAGCATTAACCTAAAGCCAAGTCTTAAAACCTTAACTCTTTTGGCTAGACTGCAGTTGGTAGCCCGGAATGGGAAGCGGACGGCTATCTTAACCATGATCCCAACCTTAACCCTAACCCCAACCGTTAACCCTAACGGCAACCCTAACCCTTACCCTAGCCAAAATCGTAAACGTAACCGTAGCCCTTAGACGTAGCCGTAACTGAGAAGCCTAACCGTAATACTGGAACCTAGTCGTACGCTCAAACCCTAACCATAACCCGAAAACCTAAGCCTAAAGGCATAACCCTAGCCGGAAAATCGGCAACAATTGACCGGTACCCAAATCCTAACCTCAAACGTAAAACGGAAGCCAAATGTGTCAGATGTAATTATAGAGTCCCACAAAATAACCCCAGTGAACAAACCCCCAGCCACCTGTAATGCGGATCCGGGCTACCAACTGGGATCTAGCCCTCATTTTCGAACACAACTCGAAAAACTCTAACCCTGGCCTCGCCGACCAAATTCGGGAAATCAGTATAAACAGATGTAAATTAAAAATACCGGATTTACACACATTTATGTAAGAAGGCGAATTGCATAGAAAAAGCAGAAGTACCAGGCCTTTATTTCGGATTTCTTACCACCTCCCATCACAGAGGGGAGACGACAGAGCCTGGGGGGAGGGTGGGGTTGACTGATACAGAACTGTTTCAAGTCTCTATGGCTTATTCAGGCAATCATAACCCCGGATGGAAGCGAATATGCGAATCCCAAAGTCTTGTTGAAAAGATGATGAACACACGACCTCTGGGACAGTAGGTGTAGTAGTCTGAACCTTTGGTCTCCTACAGGAGACCACCGTCCGAGAATGTGACATCAAATGAGCAGTTTTTGTAGTCAAGCCATAAAGGGGGGGGGGAATATGAGTGCAGGGGGTGGTATTCGCGATAAGCTGAGTCCCACGCCGTCTCACGGTGGCGTGACGGCGTGCAACCTTGGCCGGAAATTGGGCCTCGCCTCTTGTCCGCGGGCACCGAGCGCGTGATAGCAGGTGAGTATGTCAACGTGCCTGTTGATAGAGTTGTTGTCAGACGCCCAGGCCTCCAACAGTTCTCGCCCTGTCTTATTGTTGGCCCGCGCTACTTTCCGCGTGCTCGCGAAGTTGAATTAGTGGCCTTCCTCCAGGGTGTCAGTGGCGACCTGAGACAACGGGTCGCCTCTCCGGACCGCCCGTTTGTGCTCCGTCATTCGTGAGCTAAGTCGCCGGCCGGTCTGTCTTGTGCAGTGGCGAGGGCAATTTCAACATGGGATGTAATAGACGACACCCGATTGTTCTCTCACGTCTAGGCGATCCTTCACCTGCATGATTGTGTTGCGCATGGCCGCTGTCGGACGGTGAGCGATACCCACGCCGAGCTCTCCAGCGATACGTTCCATCGCTTCGGACACGTTCTTTATGTATGGTAGTGGGTGCCAGAGTGTTGGCGGCTCTCCTCCGTTCGTTCGCCGTGGGCGCGTGCGGAGGCAGAGGCTGACGAAACTGTTCGGGTATCCATTCCTTGCCAGTTGGTCCCGAAGATTCCGAAGTTCTCGTACTTGTCCCTCTGGCTCACTGCAGTTC